TATTTTTTGTTGGTTGATTTGTTATTCAATTGTTTGCATTGATTTTGTTTCTTGGTTTGGGTAATTTTGAGGCAGACCACATGTATTCAGTATTCAACCTAAAACCTTGTAGTTTTTCCCTTTTCTATTGCCCTTTCTCATTTGAGATTCCCTAGTTAAAATTAGAACTACTGTTTGATGTATATTTTCCCCTATTTGTTTTGTCCCTTTTGTAATCCATCTGTGTTACTTATACTCTCTCTCTCTGTGGTGTGTGTGTGTGTGTGTGTGTGTGTGTGTGTGTGTGTGTGTGTGTGTGTGTGTGTGTGTGTGTACTAGTCCACAGGCTTGAAATCAGGGACTGGGTGCTATTGTTGAGCTTTTATGCTGTTTGCTCACTTTAGTCACAGCTCTACTTCCAGTTTTTGGTGTTTAACTGGAGATGAGTATCATATTCCTTCCTGCCTGGCTAGTGTTGAACCTTCAACCTCAGATTTCAGCCTCCTGAATATCTAGGATTACAGATATGGGTCACAGACACCCAACTCTATGTTCTTATTAGGTAACTAACTATAATAATCTCTCTCTCTCTCTCTTGACCTGTCTAACTGTTCTCATTTCTCTTTCTCTTCTTTATCAATATAACCTTAGTCAGCTCTTTTCTATCTTACTCAACTTTATCATTAATCTCTTCTATGAAGCTTAGCCACCATTCCTTCCTGACATATAAAACCATACACCTTTCAATATTCATTAGTGCTATCCCCCTATGTCTTCCCCCTTACCACCTTTATTAACTAAGATATCCCTGTGTCACATGACTCATCTTTGATCTTATATTATTTTAAAGATACTGGAGCTGTAGTAATGGTTATTTTTTATTTTAGTAATGGTTGTTTTTAATTAAGGATTTCCGTAATCTCAAGGTTGTGGTTAATCACCTGTGATGGTCTTTGAAGTTAAGGGTCCTCTTCCTGAGAAGAGCAGGGGAATGAACTCAATATCTTAAGTATTAAAGGTTAATATTTGACTATTGAGGCACAACCCCTTACTCACCAGTTCAGTGAAAAAGAAATTTACTACAATTTGGCCACTACCTAGTCTTAATTAATATTTTAGAAATCCACAATATTGGTATGTAAAGGAAATATGGAATATGAAATTATGAAGTTATATCATTTGCAGGAAAGTGGATAGAACTGAAGATCATCATGCTGAGAAAATTAAGTCAACTTCACAAGAGCCAAGCATCACATGCTTTCACTCATTTGTGGAATTTAGAACTAAGACGATGATGATGGGACATGAATGAGAATTTGGACTGTTTAACTGGAATGAATCAGCAGGAGAAGGGAGGTAGAAAGAAAAGGATATTGAGAGTGAACAAAACTGTAGTACTTTATGTATATTCAGATGAACATAACACAATGAAAACCACCAAACACTGTCTGAAAATGGAAAGGATAAAGCTGGGTTCTGGAATATCATGGAAGCAGTGAACTTGCTCAAAATACACTATATGCAGCAATATTAAAATACAACCCATGGTTCATTAAAAATATGTTAGAAACAATAGAAAGAAAGAAAAAAGATATTTGTGTCCCTATCTCAGGGTTCATTTCACTTTACATCATCTTATATGATCATATGTACATAGCTTTTGACCTTTTCTGCTTGCCCTATACATGTACTAGTTATTGCAAATAAGGGAAACCATAAACAATGTAAAAAATGCAACCCATAGTATTATTAACTTATACTAATTTAAAATAAAATTTAAAACACAGAGACCTTAAATCAAAAATAGGAGAAGGGGATAAATAATGAATTTTAGAGTGTAAATTAGTGAAATGGAAATGAAAATGGCAATACAGAGGGTCAATGAAACAGAATTGGTTCTTCAAAGATTTTTTAAAAAATCAACAAAATCTTAGTCAAACTAACCAAAAGGAAAAGAAGACTCAGATTAACAACATGCATCCAGGAGGCGATTGCAGGATACCAATGAAATTCAAAGCTGTTAATAAAGGAACACTTTGGCAACTTACTTTCCAACAAATTACAAAATATAGAAGTAAAGGCAAAATTCTAACCATATGTGATCTACTAAAATTGTACCAAAATGTATGAACAACTTAAACAGATCAATGACAAAAATGTGACCAAAGGAACAATACATAGTCTGCCAACAAAGAAAATTTAAGCACGAAACAGATTCACTGTTGAATTCTCTCAACAGCATTACTCACAAGAAAATATGTTGAAAATTATCTGTACAACTTGGGGGGGGGGTAAGGAGAGGTAAGGAAAGTGGAAGAACAATGAGGGAGGGGGTGACGATTTTGACAACAAACGTACTCACTACCTTATGCATGTAACTGTAGCCCCTCTATACATCACCTGGACAATAAAATTAAAATTTAAAATGTTTGTCTGAGGTGGGGAAGGGAAGGAGAATCACAGAAACAATGGGACAATGGGTGAACCAATGCAACAGTGATACTCATTAGACACTATGCTGGAAATGAACTTTACAACTTGAGGGGAGGGAGGGAGAGGGGGAGAAAATGAGGGGGGGATAACACTGTTCAAAAAGAAATGTAGG